TTACCACCTTGTAGCTTACTTCTTGTCTATGCTAGACTAGTTTTCGTGTGAATAAAAATCTTCCTCAGTGAACACTCCTCCCTTGGGGAGCACAAGAGTAACCAGGCAGTCTCAGTCAGCAGCACACTAGCATGGTTAGATGACTCAGTGCATAGGCATTGTGTTTTCTTTTTCCCTGGGGGTACTCCACGCCCAAGGCCCCTCCCCCAAAGTCCCACTCTCACTCTGCCTCTTCCTGTACTTTACTTCACCCCCCTCCAGTGAGGCTCCATCCTAGCCCTGCCTCTTCCTGCCACTCCAGCCTCTCTTCTGCCTGTCACTCCCTGCTCTCCATCCTTCCCAAGCTCCTCCTCCAGCCTCCAAAGAGTTGATTGACAGAAGCTGCTGAACAGCTATGTCTAGTGGGTGCTGAGCACCCCTGTTTTTTTCAGTGGTTGTGCCAGTCCCAGAGCACCCACGGAATCCGTGCCAATGCTCCGGTGATTAACATGCTATTGGCTGGTCTACAGTTGTGTTCCCCATTGTTACTACCGTTGGTGGAGCTGCATATGAGATACCAATGGCGAGAACTTTTAGTAGAGAAGGTGGACACCCCCAGTGGTGAGACATTTTAGGAGAGAAGGGCTAAAGTGGACACCCCCACTAAATCTCCCTTACATATTACCCAGCTCAGCTTGCAGTGGGTATTATCTGGAGTCACGTTTGAAATACTGTGTTTACTGTGCCTGTAACATGCCTAAAACAGATTCACCATTCTCTGAAATGAAGTTTTTTGAGTGAGTGCATTATTGGCAGCATCAGGATGAAGTTTTGTCATAGCTTGGCTGCTGCCAGGGGTGGAGTTTTGGCTGCTCCTCCATCCCTCCCGGTCACAATATAGAGTTTGTTTTCTGCCTTTCTTACTGATGCAAGCTTCCAAAAATGTTTCATAACCGTCAGTGACTAGTGCTTTGCATTTTGTTATTCTGCGTCTCATGCTTTGCACTTCCTGGCTGGACAGTTTTTACAGGACCTCAAAAGTGCTGCCTAAGAATGAATTGTTCCTCAGCACTCTTATGTGCTATTGAAATCCCGCCCCTTCTGGGGTAGCGCGTACCAGCTATTTAACAATGCACAGCAACTCTCACGAAGGTTTAGGACAGGAGAGGAAGAAGAATGCTGTGTTCAGTCAGAAAGTGCTAGGGGAATTTAGTTATGCAGACTGGAATTACCTGAACTGCAATTAGCTGGGACACAGGAATTAAAACTCCTACTTCTCCTAAAAATACCCAAATCAGTACTATTCATTGGTGGGAGGCACTGTGGTGCAGGAGGAGACATCTTAGATGAGTTTAAAATTAAGGGACTCTTTTCAGCCTGCTTGGATGTTTTTCAGAGAAGGTGGTTGTTCCATTCTGCACACTAAAATTCTCTCTGGCAGTTCTACCTGAACACAGAATTCTTCACTTCCTGTCCTTAACTGCAGGCCACAGCTGGAGATGGGACACAGGGCAGGGCAGGCCAGGAATCTGAGGTGGCACCACACATTATCCATCTCAGTGGCTTGATTCTCTGGTACTTGCTCACATTTTTAGGTTTTACTGATCACCAGGTTGGCAGTGACCCTGAGGAGGAGTCATATCCCACTGCAGTATATGGGTGTGGGTCACTTGCTAGAATTATCTGGGTATCTCTCATTTAATCATTCCCTGCCATTGGTCCACCTCTGTCCTTTGTTTTCTCTGCCTGTGGCACCACATAGTCTAGTTGCCTTGGAGGTCATGTACTTTGGCTTGGGTGACCATAAGTCCCATTTTGGCTGGAGACTATCTCTTTTCTTTCAAGCCCTGTCCCAGCCATCCTGACTTTTTTTGGCAAGAGCGGCCAAGAGCAATTGGGACAAATGCTCCCTTTTGTAAAAAAGTGGGGTGGAGAGAAACGTGCTGGGGGCAAGTGGAAATGGGCACATTGCGGTAGCAAGGGACATGCTTTTTGCATGGGTCATCTGTAAAGTGCATGAGGATAGTGCTGGCGCCCCAGGTGTGTGCAGCATGTGAGAAAACAGCCTGTTTCCCACCCCAAAGGGTGTACTGCATTGGTGTAAGATGTTTCATATTGACTTAACAAGTGGCAAGAAAATACTTTGCAACTTAGACATGTCTTCAGTGTCTGGATCTGACTCTCCTCTTTCCCGCTGTCATAAGTATCAGGTGTCGCTGCAGTGAGGCCAATGGCATTACTGTGGGGTAAACACAGCCGTAGTATCAGGCTCTCTGGGGGAGGCTGTCAAAGCACAAATGGCATTTGGGCATCCAACATCCCCTGAAAGTCAATGGGAGTTGAAGGCCTTAACTTCCCTTTTTGCTGTTGCAAATCTCTACTGTCTCCAAAGAAATCACTGGAGAGGATTTCGGGAGCCTCTTTTTGGCTTTAGCTGATGGCAAACTCCCTGCCAGTTTTTGTCCCACTTTCCTAGCAGGGGGATCACCTCTGCTGCACTCACTTTCAGGAGTCCCTAAGGCAAGCTCTGCAGGATGCTGTTGGATTTGTCAGTGCCTTGCTGACCTCACATGCTTCCTTTTTATTTTCCAGAGAGACGGCTTTCCAGATGTCGTCCCAAGGCAAACCTGCTGAGCTACTCTCCCCACAGCATGGCGGCTCGGCAGCCCAGCGAGACGGCCCTGACACCACTGACAGAGCAGGAGGGTGAAGCGTACCTGGAGAAATGTGGCAGCATCCGTCGCCACACTGTTGCCAATGCTCACTCGGACATCCAGCTCCTGGCCATGGCCTCTGTAATGCACACGGGGATGGTGATAGAAGAGCCAGACAACAGTGACAAATGCCTCCTACTGCAGCCCGCCTTCAGCCACAGGCAATGCTCCAGTGAGCCCAGTATCATTGATGGGCCGGAGGGACTGGTAGCAACGGGCAGGCAGGAATCTATAGAACTGAACTGCACATCTGTCAGCTAGAAAGAATCCTTCCAAGGTATCCCCTCCAGGGGAGAGAACCATGCATGCTAAACCAGACGATGGGCAGTTGTGTTCCTGCTGGGAACGGTGGTGCACACAAGCCTTGGGGATGTATTTGCACATGTTGTGGGAACGTTCTATATTCTCATGTCTCCCTAGATTTTTATATATGATTTCGCAGGATCATGGTCAGAGGAGGTACGGGGCTACTCCCAGCTGAGCATTCAGGGCTGTCAGGGTTTCAGTGTTAAATGCTGCTGCTGTCTCTGTCTTCTGTGGAGTTTCTTCCTGAGCTGCTCAACATTCAAGTTCCACTGCTGTCGCTCTTCAGTTTCTTTTTCACGAAAGAAATTAATCTGAACATGTTTCAATCTCATGCCAAACTCCTTGGTTTCCTTCAATGGAGCCCACCCACAATTCCCAGCAGCAATTAGAGAGGATTGTGCTAAAAGCTGCCTTGGTCCTTGCCGTCTATTGCTACTGTTGGTGATGCCTGGGTTGGGTTTTTCATTTAAATGTATTGTACTCAGGGATTAA